CATAGCTGTTGGACCAAGCTGCCGAGGACTTCCGTCTGCCCATCGTCATCAATGGTAAAGACCTTACACAAGCTTTTTGTGGGCCTTCGCGGTTTAGGGTTTAGGCCGTTTAGAGTTTGATGGTTACCCTGCGCCCTAGCACAGGGTCCAAAACATCGAACCGGCAGACCAGACTATTACAAGGTGTAGCAACTTTAAGACAGGGACTGCGCAACCTATCCGTTCGATGAGGAGGCTGCACCCTCATAGGCAACTGGCGCATATAGCTTCTATGTCCAGTGACGTCAGGGTAAGTCTCGAGGCTTGGTTAGAGGACTGTTCTGGAAAGCTCCGCACCGATGCAACCATCCCCCGGTAAGAAAAACATCCGGGGCCCGCAGGGACGCCCAGAAGGCATCGACTCAGCACCACACGCTTGTGGTGTCCTCGGGATAACATGGTGACAGTTCGTACGGCATGGATGCAAAAGTGGCATCAGGCTGCTGCTATCAGCCGCGCTTAACCACCCTGCCGGGCCCTACCCCTGATCCTTGTTGGCCAGAATGAACTTGCCAGGAACTCCGGTCACCTGGCTGGCACCTGGCCCGGTCATGTCATGCGCTTAAGCTTATCCTGCGGGACCCCAGGAAATCTCCTGATATACTGCTCTATACTGCTCTATATCCGCCCTTTCAACCGTTTTGTAGCTTCTTAGAGGAAAGGGCGATGGGAGTGTCGAGAGGACTTGCAGCGAAGTTGCTGTATTTTGCCTCCCACTGGCGTACCTGGAGAGGGCAAATGAGGGCAATGAGAGTAGGGTGCTGGCCAAGGCGTTCAAGGCTGCATCACGCCGGTATCTTGAAGTGCAAAAACCATCAAGTCCGTAGCTCAAGGCTTGGCTGCAACTGCGTTTGGGTAGATGTTACAGCTGACACCTGCGCCAGCACAGGGCGTCAAATGGCTCGTAAGGTGTCCATCGCAGGTCTCTGGCACCGTCCGGGCTTGCAGATATTTGTGCTTGCCAGTTCGCCACGGCACGTTTGGACATTCTTCAGACCTTTGCGTCTCATTGGTTTCAATTTCATGTTGAGCAGGTTGAGGGCTTCAAGATGGCGCAGGGGGGACGGGGGGAGACCCAAGGGTCGGGTGGGCTGGGGTGGGTGCGGGTGGGGGGTGCGGGGGTTGCAACCACTCCACCCGACAGAATCGCGTGCTAAGGTCGGGCCTCCCGCCCCCACCACAACCAACACAAGAGAAAAAACTCCCGAGCTCTGAGCCAAGCGCCCCTTGCTTTCTGAAGATGATGGAGGGTTCCATGCCCGTTTTGGTTGGGTCTGAGCAGACAGATCACCCACTCACTTGCAGCACACGAGCTTCAAAGGAATCCTCACATGGTGAGAAATCATTATGTGAAGACTGTGAAGACTACTGACTAGGGTTGCAGCCAACATCGAGTCCGCCAAGCAGTGTGATCCTCCCCTCCTTTGACACGAGCACCCATCCTTCCACGCACACCTGAGAAACGATTTGGGGAATGCTGGAATGCTTCATATTGCTTCATGCTAGCTGCTAGCGCAATGCATGACTCGCTAACACCACTCGAGCTCCTGTGCATGGCCAAGCGGCAAGGTGCAGAAGGATGAGCACACATCTTATCAGCATGCACTTCATGCCCGACCTGATGCGCCAAGGAATCACGGGTGGTCAGGGCCGGGGCTATACGTGGAAAGTCGCAATAGTAGCCTTTTACGACTGTGGGATGTGAGCCAACAAGTCTGGACCACAAACAAGGACTTTTGCCGAAGTCTGTTTGAGCCCACCCCTGTACCTCGACGTCACAATCAACAAGGCCACACAAGACACAACCATTCCTACAGTATCGCGGACTGTCGCCAAGCTTGTGAGTGTCCGCTTCATATGTCATATGTGTGAATCCACAGACGAAGAAGCGCGGGTCCGAATCTGAGGCCATTCACTGGCCATGCTTCAACTTCAGGGCCTGTCAGGATGCCATCACAAGCCATCTCTGTGCTTAAATAGCTATGGGACCTCAATGCCTGCAAAACCACGATGCCTGGAAAGCCAGCTTGTTTGCAACTGGCAACCAAGTGAAGTAAATCTACCAGCGCTGGTCTAAGCCAGAAGGTCCGCGGTCAATCTGGCTTAAACGTGCCACAAAGCTTGAAGCGTGCCCGAGTTTTCTGCTGCTGGCTATGATTCTGCAGCTTACAGCACAGAAGTGCAGAGAATGCCGATCGATGTCTTAGGGCTTCGCAACACTGTAGGGTTTGAGGGCCTGGTGCCATAAGTTGGAGTTCAGGGCATTTAAGCTTTAGGCCCTTTAGGCTCCTCAACGCGCTACGTCTTGGGGATTTGTTAATGGAACCACAACTAACAAGCCGAGTCACCTGGGAGGGAGGAATGGGAGGGCGAAGCAATCAAGCCTAGCTTCGGAGCATTTTACATAGCTGTCACACAGCCGTCTGTGCCTTCTTTTAGCCTCTTGCGCCATGCAATCAGGAACCGAGGCGTCCAGGACCATGTCCCATTCTACAAAATAATGGTCAGCGATGTCTTTGTGGTGATCCACCGCGGGGCAAAGCAATTTTTGAAGCCCATCAAACGGAGGTGCGATCAACCAAGCTTGCCCACAAACTTACCACTGCGGAAGCAGAGTCGAAGATGATTGAAGATGCTTACACGAGAAGAAATTGGGTCAAGGTTGCCGTGACTAGTTGACGGCTGTCGGACCTTCCCCCTCTGCGAAGTAGGTGCTGTATGCCGCCTGAGCAGAGTATCTCAATGAGCGATGGTGAAAGGGGACAGCTTGATGCCGATTGTCCGTCCTGGACCTTCTGGATCTTCGGAGCATTTTGACTGCCGGAGAATGCTTGATTTTGCCTTAGCTAAGGCATTTGAGAGTCCAACAGGCAAGCTAGATTTCCTCACAATGACGACAGGGCTATGCCGGCTATGCCATCGCCAAGCCACGCACTGACCTGTCCGGGATACGGCAGGTGTATTGCGACAACTGCATGCAAGCGCCGTTATTGTGGCAGTCTGAAATAGACTCTCTGGGGCCCTGGGATTCCCTCGCCTGGAATGCAATGAACCCGATTGACCTGTCAGAACAGAACGAGAAGGTTGTGAGAATGCATGTAAGCACCTGTCAACGTCAGGTGTAAAAAAACAACCTTGATTGGAGACAACGTGCTATCGCATCTCTGCACTTTTCCTGCCAAGTAGCGCGAGAGCGAGGAGGGCAAAGCTTACAAATGGAAGAACCTTGCAGGACATCATTGTGAAGAGTCGACTTTCGCAGGACTGAAGAGTCTGTGCAGGCGCTGGTTTGGCTCTGCAGGTCAGCGAGCCAAGCTCTGTCAGGTACTGCAATCCAAGTGTCACTCCCCTCCATGTCTGGCTCATCGCGGCGATACTGAGCAATCACAGCACCAAGTCAGAGGAAAAAAAAAAAAAAAAAAACGCCTAGACAAGGTTTCTGCAGTCCACAGAAAGCAGGACTCGCAAGACGAACGAGTTTTGGCAGGTACTGGTACCAGATTGCGATCTGTTCTGCAGTCCTCCTCCTCCTCGTCGTCATCATCAAAATAGTCATTGTCATCGTCGTCCTCTGCACCTGCAACGGGAGGCGTGAATCGCGTAATCGCCTGCATTCGGCCAACTTCCGAAGGCCGTCTGCGAGTTAAACCTGCCCATCGAGTTGCCTGCTCGGGTTGTGACGGCCTGTACAGGCGGGCATGAGCTGTGAGGCATTATGAAATCAACAGGAAGCAAAAATCTGCTCTTGGTCCGATTCAAGAATCGGCAGGCCTGTGCAGGCTTTGGAGCCTTTGATCCACTCGGAACGTCTCCGAAATCGAAATCATCACCAGCTGCCTGGCAGTGCACTCTGCTTACGGGTCGTCCGTGTGCTTCGTGGCGGCTAGGGCTTGGGCAGGTCTCGCTGCACTGGATGCTATGCGCGCTCTCACTGGGAGCGTGCCGGTGAAGGCAGATCCTGCAAGAGCCCAATCACGCAGCTCATTGGATTCACGTGCCGACTGCTGCTTGAACAAGTTACTTCAAGCGACTCCCAGATCATTCCCGCGCGATACTGTATCATCATGCTCCAACACACTGCACACGCCCATCCTCCTTGAAGGTAGACCGTCTGGAAGACTGTGCACAGAGTGCACAGTGCAACGAGGCTACACAAGGAACCTGAGATTCGCAAGGATGTTCTTCGACCGTTGCAACTGCAGAAAACCGGACACGCATGCAATGCAGTCACAGTGCAGTACTGGGAGTTGCTGCACTGCTACACTCCGTCGAATGTCAGGTACTGGAAAGCTACCGATATCCTGATCGCAAAAGACTCTTTTTGAGGCCTCCTGGAGGCCCTCCTTGAGGCCCAGGGACGGGACAACGATCTAAGCCGTATCATCGCCTTGGGTCTCTTACTGCAACTGTGCATGTAACATCATGTAACTGCAGCTGTACCAGAAGGGAAAGCAACGCAACTCGGAATTGCACGGTACTTGCAAGCAAGGATCGTGGAGGCAAACCAGGCACTGAGACCAGGCAGCAACACGCCCCTCAAATGCCTAGTCCCTGGTCGCATTTGAGATGCCGAGCTCAGCAGCTACACTGATTACACCCCATCGCTAGTCAAGCAAGAGCCCTTGGTTGGGTCAGGGTTCGAAGCTGAAGCCGATCGGGCTCTGGCAA